CGGGACTGTCAGAGACTAGTGACTCGGCTGCTTCCACTCTGCAGGTAGGACAAACCTAAAGAAAGACATAAAAACATAGATTTTTTTATGCTAATTTTTAAAGTTTTATTAAATTTGAAAGAAAGTGTATTCAAAAGTGAGACATCAACATAAATTTTACATGATGGAAAGGCTATCATTTTTTGTTTGTTTTCATCAAGATTGAAATCAAGTGAACTTACCAAAGAATAATTTTCTTGTGATTTCAAACAGTAAATCTATATGAGTGCAATAAATCTTAATGCCCAATGTTCCTTAAAAATTTTATATTGAGTTTATATTCTGATGAGTAAAGTGAAATTAAATAATTTACTATTTCTTTTAAAGGACTTTAAATATTTTCTTATGAATAAGACATGTCATTCCACAATGGGGATAAAACAAACAAATACCATTTTAAACAGTGCAACAGATAATTTATCTGAAACAAGACATTTTTTTGTACAAAACATGAATTATGATGTTTCTTACAAGGAAAGAAATGCAAATTTAATTAAAAATGCTTTTTATTTCAAGCTTGGTGCATATTATCCTGTTCTGCATTTCATAATTACATGTCTCTTCCATACAAAATGTTGGGAAATCTTTTTGTGGTTATTATTATAAAGAGCAGAATGAGTTGTGGGAATGTTTAATTTGTTGCTTTATGTTTGGTGATTAAGAAGGCTTTCACAGACTCATTACGCAGGCATTTCATCTGCTGTATCACATCTGCTGTGTATATGTTTATCTATGTATATGTTTATCTTTTCTACAATATGTTGCATAATAACATCTAAATATCCACATGTGCCTAATCCAATTTAATGATAATCAGCAATATTCTTTAAAAAGTACACCATGGCTATTTTTAAATACATTTCCATGTATTGTTTAGTTTCATCTGTTTAACGGATTTCTCGTTAAATCTCTTAGTCATGTTAATATGCCTTCTTGTCATTTTATCTTGACAAAATGTCTCTTTCTGTTGGTACCAGAATCTATTCTTTTTTCTCTACGTAATTTATAGTTTATTTTTTACTGTAACTTAAAGACCAAGATTCCACATATTAACTCGGAGGCAAAAGAGCTCACATATATATTTTTACATATATTTACAGAGTTTGTTTTGTAAATAGGTTTAAAATAGATAGTTTTAAGGTAAAAATTACCTTTGGTTTTTAAAATTTTTTAATGTCATATGTCGAATTAAAATTTAATAACTAAACTTAGTACATTAAAAGACACTTAGGATAGTCTTTCTTAGAAATATGGATGGATAGTTGATTGATTGATTTCCTATTATGGACTGGAGACCGGTCCAGGGTGTACCTCACCTCTCCCTTGTTGATGCTTACACCACAAGGGATAAGCTTGTTGGATAAGGGATGGATAAGTTTCGGCTTTGCAGTATTCATTTGTGTTCATTTAATATTAATAAGAATATTTTAAGTTCAGGAAAAAGCATTTATTATTTATGCCAGTTGAAAACTAAATGGTGTGTCATTCTAAAATTTTAGTATGAAAAATAAAAATTATAATTACAATACTCAGTGAAAGGTCAGAACTTTGTTCACATGTATAGTTATGGGTTTTTCTAGACAGGGGCTAATAGGGGCCAGTGCACTTGTTATAGTGCCTGTAATTAATACATAATAAGAAATGTCTCATGATGATATGAGCTGGCACAGAAATTGTAACTAATTGCACCCTTGGACCAATTTCATTTTTACCTTCAAAGTTTTACTTCAACAGTGAATTAAAAATGAAGGTCTTGCACTTTTAGGATGTATTCACACCTGACACATTTGTTTCACTTTAAACAGAACAGAGTTTGTGTCTCACATTGAACCTTTTGTGCAGGTGTGAATTCACTCAAGCGAACTCCGGTGCTGACCAAAATATTGGACTGAAATCAGATTTTTGAGGTATTTTCGGTCCGTTTCGAAATGTACCCTGGTGCTTTTTGCTTCTGGTGAATGCAGATCAGCCTCGATCTGAACCAACAACAGGAAGTGTACGTCTTCTCAAACTTAATGGGCCGCTATTGCTGGGCACTATGGCAAAGATGAACTCTTCCGTGTTGCTAACGCTACTGCATGTGCTGGTGGTACTGAAATCATGCCTTTTCTGTCATTTTCCAGTGCTGCTGCTGCCCGCATGTTGTGGGTAGGGCATGCAAAGCGTCTCAGCTGACAGGTCCCATTTGATGGCAACGTTCCAAAAATACAAACATCCCATTGGGAAACTTGCATTGAATGAGCTGCTTTTGACATTGAAAATGATGTTGCAATTGTAATAGCACAAATGTGCACTACAGGAATGTAGCAATCAGGACTTCCAACGTTTCTTTTCACCTGGGCCTGGACTCTGTCCTGCCTCCATAATTTCTGTCTAATGGGAGCAATTATTTGCAAATTATAGTCTGCTTAGGGAAAAAAAGCACAATGGGAGAGCAAAAAAATAAAGTTAACTTTATTTCCAGCCCAAACAAGCGAACCCAACAACTTTTCTGGTTTGAATTCCCCCTTAGCCTCAGCCGTTTTGAGATAGGATCACAATTTTCATCTGCTGGATCACCAGTCTGCAATCTGCAGCTACAGAGTGGCTCTTTGACTCTGTGGCTCACTTCATATAGGCAACAATTAAATAGTTCCCTCTTTTTTATTTTTGTTTCATTCTCTTGTTTTATGCCCCAGGGAAGGACCCTCCCTGTCTCCCTGTTATATTTGGTCGCAAATCTCAACCTCTTTGTCCAAAACTCTGAATTAATGTTTTAATCTTGAGCAGGTCACATATTGTGCAATATTTGATGCCAGCTTAAGCGGTTCAAATATTATCCTCCATGATGCCAAACACAGCCTTTCTTGTCTTTACATGGCCTTATCTGGCTTAACCATAAAGTCTGTGTTATGGTACAGATTTCAGCTACACTGACTGTAAATTTTAGCACAGTAACAGACACGTAGAAGCCCCAGATCTGTGTGAACAAAGTTTCTGTTGCAATTCAGAATGCAAAGAATAAAGATGGTTAAAATCAAAACAAACAAAAAGACAAGAACACAAAAAAACAAGAATCAGCACAAATTTCACATATGGGACTTACTTAAAACATTTGACTAAAATCATACAAAGATTGTGAAATACTCTCTTATTTTCAACCCCCAGCTGATGCTGTTTACAGTCACAAGAGAGCTAAGTATATCCTAGAAGTGGGGCCAATATGAATAACTTGACAATGCATCACAAGATGAAAAAGAAGAAAAAAAAAGAAAAAAAAACATGAGCAAAATAATCACTGTTTCACAAGTTTTGAAGTTTGTAAACATTCTTAAAGAAAACTGGTTTCAAATAAATTTGTGCACCATATACCTTTTAAAATTTAGTGTTTTTATTGCACATCTACATTTCAAAAAGTTGAGTGTTAATTTGAAATTGTAGATGCATAACAATACTGCATAATGTTGAAGCTTTTGACTTTTAGGTGGAAAGATATGTTTTAACTTTTGTAATATTTTCTCTGACTTGAAATGTTGAACATTGAAATGCTGCTTTGATAGCTGAGCTATCTTTGGATTTTCTCAACTCTAAGTTAAACATACCTCAGCTTGATGTTTTTTTTTTATTTGTGGCCTGAAACACAGTAAGCACAGTACATTGACCTAACTTTTGCAAACACATTAAAGTCAAAACATTTTAATTTAGGAATGTATGAAGGAACTGAAGTAACACTTTTGTGCTTAATCAAAAGTAATTTTTACATCTTTCTGCATAAATTTTTTTTTAGTTTTATTTAACCGTCATGCTTTGTTTTTCTTTACCTCAGATGAAAGAGCAAACTTGACAAAAACCCCTACTAAAGAGATTCCCCATACCTACATAAATTGTCAAAAATGTGAGGGTATTTATTTATTTATTTATTTATTTATTTATTTATTTATTGCTGCATTTGAGCAGTGGAGGAATTCATAATAGTTTTTTTCTTCTAAACCACCACGTCTTCCAGCAGTGATAAACAAAATAAAAACTTTTATGAGAAATAACAAGTATATAATGACCAATTATTAATTATGTAGTATTGTAAGCGTAGCATTCAAATAATTACATAGAAACGTATTTTTTCCGCTTCATCAACTTTTATTAAGTCCAATTACGACTAAATGAACATTAAAATGGTTTGGAAATCAATTTTTTTTAATTTAATGAAGACTGTCTTTTTATTTCTCAGTTCCAGATAACGCATTTTTCTTGAAGTCGTAGTTATCGCGATATGTTGCCTGCCGAGGGGATGAGAGACGTTGTGCACAGTCAGTGCGTCATTCCTGGGAAGAAACGCCTTTTGTAACGATTTGCGTTGTGTTTTCCGCTTTTAGCTAAAAGATCTCACCGTCCGAACCGGTTCTTCACAATGGCAGAGCCTGTCAAACGGCTTTGCAGGACGGGGTATGTGTTCCTGTTTCTCTGTCTTTTTGCCTCATGGAGTGCGGTGCTGTCAGTTACTCATTATTCTGTACCTGAAGAAATGGAGGAGGGATCTGTCGTTGCTAATTTGGCGGCTGATTTGGGATTAGAAGTGAAGACACTGAAGACGAGAAGGATGCGCGTGGATGTTGTAGCCAATAAAAAATATCTTGACATCAACAAAGACACGGGGGAGCTTTATATTTTGGAAAGGATTGACAGGGAGTTTTTGTGCCCATCGAAAACCACTTCATATTGTTTCCTTAAATTAGACGCTACAATTGAGAACCCAATACGTATGTTTAATATTGAAGTGGAAGTAACGGATATTAATGACAACGCTCCTCATTTTCGTAGAGGAACGATGCATTTAGACATCTCAGAGTCGAGCCCTGTTGGAGAGAGATTCTCCCTGAACAACGCTGTTGACCCGGATGTTGGAACGAATTCTGTAAAAAACTACCATCTGAGCGCAAGTGATAATTTTGCTATTGAAATTCAGACCGGGAGAGACGGAACGAAGTTTGCTGATTTGGTTCTGAAAAAGACTCTGGACAGAGAACAGCAGGCTGTTCATAATCTGATTCTGACCGCTGTGGACGGTGGGGTGCCCACGCGCACAGGTACAGCCAGCATTATTGTTCGCGTGCTTGATGTGAACGACAATGCCCCTTCATTTGACAAAGACCAGTATGTTGTAGATGTGATGGAGAACTCGCCGATTGGAAGCTTAGTGATCAAACTGAATGCTACTGATTTAGATGAAGGCTCCAATTCTGACATTACTTACTCATACAGTTTATACACATCAGAGAAAACCCAGATGATGTTTAACCTGAATCCAGGAAATGGTGAAATCAGAGTAAAGGAAATGATAAATTATGAAGATCTTAAACTGTATGAAATGGAGGTGATAGCCAGTGACAAAGGACCTACCTCCTTGTCTGGACAGTGTAGAGTTACAGTCCAGGTGACTGATATGAATGACAACCATCCTGAAATTTCCATAAAATCTTTTCAGAGTCCAGTAAAAGAGAATGTGGCCACAGACACAGTGATAGCTGTAGTTAGTGTCAGTGATAAAGACTCAGGTGATAATGGACAGGTTGATCTTCATATTCCAGAGAACATGCCTTTCAAACTGAGGGAGTCCTCTGATAACTATTATGAGTTAGTGGTGTCAGAGCCATTAGACAGAGAGAAGGTCCCAGAATATGAAATCACCTTCACTGTCACAGACAGAGGGTCTCCTCCTCTGTCTGACAATGAAACTATGACTCTGGAGCTGCTGGATGTTAATGA